TGTAGCCTCTACTAAAAATGTCTGCTTCCTAGCACACAGCATCCTCACTCAGCAGTCCTTAGCACCAACTGAGATGAGGAGCAGGCAGACCAGAACTGACTCTGTCCTGTTGGTTTCAGAGGTTTTCTGCATGTGGTAGGCTTGCAAACAACAGTGCCTGGGTGAGGGAGGTCCTGGCACATTCCATACAGACTCAGGGCAAGTCTGCCTTGTTGATTTTAGTACAGAAGCCTAGGGGCCTGTCTCTTTGTACAGGTAGGGGCTGTGGTGGTTAGGGAAGCAGCCGTTTTGCTGAACCTATAGTAGGATTGTAGTAGTAATATAGTGGTTACGAATTGGGCTGCGAACCGTAAGGTCAGCAGTTCAAACCCACCAACTGCTCCTCAGAAACCTTATAGAGGGTCACTCGAGTCAGAATCGACTCGATGGCACTTACCAACTAACACTAACCAATTTATAGTAGTTGGTGGCTGGTGTAACTGCAGGGAGGGGAAGAGAATGGTGAGAGAATCAATTTTCTACCACATGTGGCTCGTTGTTGATGCACTGAGTCCTGTCTGTCTGCAGTTCCCTGTTGCTGTATTCTGTTCGCCAAATCAGAGTCCCTCAAAGCCAAGCACTGTTTCCTTGTTGTATTTGTCGGGGAGGGTTGATGCTACCATCTTCCCAGAATCTTCATAGACTGTAATTTTGATGGGGGCAGATTACCAGGTCTCTTCTCTCTGAGTGGATAGTGGGTTACAATCTTCAAGGTTTGAATGATTAAACAGTCAAACATTTAACCATTGCTCCACCAGGGCTCCTTGTAAAAGCAGTGGTTGTGGTTGTGTGCTGTGGAGTCGGTTCCAACTCATAGCAACCCTATATAGGGTTTTGGAGGCTATAAATCTTTATGGAAGCAGAAAGTTTCATCTTTCTATTGTGGAGTAGCTGATGGATTCGAACTGCTGATGTTACAGTTAGTCCAACTAGTAATCCACTAGGCTAACAGGGTTCCTTGTGAAAGTGATATAAATTCTCAAATAAATATCTATCTTTGAAAGACTTGTCACTGAGGTGTAAAGTGTTGGTTCTTTTATTACAGAGTCCACAGATACAATTTGGGATACACAGCATTCCTTAATTGTATGCAGAATTATAGGCATCCATGAAACACATTCACTTAGCAACAAGGCCCCTATAGAGCCACTTTCAGACTCTTATTTACTCTTGTTCATAGAAGTGCTCATTTATTATCATCTTTAAAGCAAATAATTCCCTCATTAAACATGTAGTCTGAGAGGTGACTGAATATTACTAACTAGTAGGAAAAAATATGCATCTTAAATAATCTTTTCTTAGGGGAAAGGATGAAACAACAACAGAGCCCTATTGATTTTTAAAATAATCTGTCATAGTAATTTTTAAAAAGACAGAATAATCCCTCTCCCCACAAGAGGTTCATACTTTAATGTTTAGCACTTGTAAATTATGTTATACTTTGCATGATAAAGGGGTTAAGGATGCAGATGGAACTAAGTTGCCAATCAAATGATGTGTAAATTGAGAGATGATCCTGGATTATCCCAGTGGACCCAATGTAATCACAGGGTCCTTAAAAGTGGAATAAGGATGCTCCTGCATTGCTGGTGGGATTGCAAAATGGCCCAACCTCTCTGGAAAGCAATATGGCGTTTCCTCAGAAGGTTGGAAACACAAATACCTTATGATCCAGCAATTCTGCTACTTGGTATTTACCCACAAGAAATACAAGCCATAACACGAGTAGATATATGCACACCAATGTTCATAGCAGCGCTATTTAAAATAGCAAAAAGATGGAGACTGCCAAAGTGCCCATCAACTGAAGAATGGATAAACAAGCTGTGGTACATACACACAATGGAATATTATGCTTCCTTGAAGAATAACAAGGAAGCTGCAAGCCACCGTATAACACGGATGAACCTTGAGGACAATACGCTGAGTGAAAGTAGTCAGTCACAAAAGGAGAACTATTACATAGTACCACTACTGTAAAAGACTAAGAAAAATAAGCCATACTAAAGGGGGTGGGGTGGGGTGGGGAGATTCTTTACTGGTCACCGGAATGTGGGGGGTGGGGTGAGGGAATAGAGGGGAAGGCGGAGCATGGGGCAGGGAATAGACACAGGATAGTTTGGGTGGTAGGGAGGGGGCAATACACAAGAATGGGGAGGGGAATGGAAGAACAAATCAGACGGGAAAACAATTAGGCAGGTTTGCATGGTCAAAGTGGGACAGAGGTAAATAATGATGTATGCACAACCTCGGAACAACAGGGCTCTGGGATACAGGGATTGAGACATGGTTGGAATGGGGAAAAAGGAGGAAATAATGTTAAAATGCTTGGCTGTCTTTTGAATCTTGGTTTCCCTGGCATACCATTATAAAATAATACATTTGAAGGGGAGAGAAAGGAATAGTCAAGAAATATCACCATGGAAAGCCTGTAAGTCTGTCTTCTACCTATAACTGATTGGAATACCTAAAATGGGGCTACAACATGCCCAGTGAAGAAGAAGGCTTCCTGTGGAGCCTCTGCATTACTTAAGACCATAAATGGAATCCTGAACAGCATCCAGAATCCTCTGAGGTGGGAAATTTCCACTTGAAAGGACAAGCAGACCTGCCTGGAACAGGAAGATCAGAAGATACTTCTTGAAAGAAAAACCGACCGGAAAAATACAAAACAATATAGGCAGTCTAACTGATTACTACAAGAACAAACAAGTTGCTTGCCCAGAAGACATCAAGGCAAGTGGTAGAGTCCCCTCAGGGCAAACCCCGCCCAAGACTAAGACTCAATGGGAATACTCGCTCTGTTTGGTGACCACGTTAGTCACCAATATGGGGAAGTGAGGGAAAAACAGCAATGACGCTGTGAGCTAAGTCCTACAACGTTCAATAGACTCTTGTGAACCTGGGTAGAGACCAGGTCGGCCAACAGTGTGGTGAGACCTGAGGACTCTTGGGCCCAGAGTCAGCCAGTGACATAGCCACAGAGGACTAAAGTGGAGAGTGAAGCATCCAGCTGATAAGAAGAGAGGGAGTATTCATAAGAACACCCACACTTTTAGATAATACCCACTTGACCTGGCTTCAATGACTGGATGATCAGAGCTCAACTAGGAGAAGAAAGAAGAAGAAAAAAAGAGTAATCTGATACAATTTGATGAAATTGATGTACACTTATGGCTGCAGTAGCTCAAAAGAGGGAACAAATGTTTATAGCGAGGATTACTCCCACCCCCTCCATACACAGAGTTGACAGGGATGGGCAACTTAGACACTGGCTACCCAAAATGGGAGGGCTACAAAGGCAAGAAGTGACTGGCTTACAAACTTTCAAGAGGGAACCTAGATCCAGAGGGCACAGAGGAAGTAGACTATCCACTAAGTAGTATCCAATCTGTCGGGCGAGGCTGATGAAAGGCGATGTGGGTAATTCTCTTGTGATACAATAGTGAATAATTGTTATCAGGATTGCTTGTGAGGGTTGGAAATGTAAAGGTAGATGTTTTGTAGCAAAAGGAGGGGAGTGATTGACTTAGCAGTCTAGGAGTGGAGGTCCCTGGGACCATCAAGCGAGAAGAGCAGAGAGCAGGACCCTATCCAGAGAAGCAGTGACACTAGAGATGGAGGCAGAGATGATGACGTGGAGAGATGGAGCGGCTGGGGAGTCTAGTCCCAGAGAGGGATTGAGGCTGTGTGCTGATGACCGCACGCTTGCAGGGTATGCCCTTTGGTTGGTTGATGATGCATGGAGGGGATTGTAACCATGGCAATCAAACGATATACGATAGGATGAATGTAAAACTAATGTTCTCCCATGTAAACTATCGCATAATTCACAAAAAAACATTTAAGAAAAAAAAAAAAAAAAGTGGAATAAGGACGTAGAAGAGGGCTGAGAGGGAAATGTGTCCATGGGAGAAAGGCACAGAGTGATGGGATGGGAGGACAGAATCTAACACTACTGTCTCTGAAGATGGAGAAAAGGGACACACACGTCAGGGAATGGGGGTGGTCTCTAGAAGCTGGAATAACAAAGAAATGAACTCTCCCCTGGAGGCTCCAGGAGGGAATGCAGGCCTGCCCACACTGATTTTAAACCAGTGAGACCTGTGTTGGATTCTACCTAAAGACATTTAAGTTGTTTGAAAACACTACATCAATGATAGTTTGTTACAGCAGCAGTAGATAACTATGATTGACCTCAAAGTGATTTTCCTAACAACAATTAAAGCAACAACAACCACAAATGTTTCAGATTAGTTGACATAAGTAGACTGGTTATGATATACTCCTCATAAGCACTCGCAGTAAATTCTCTTTTGCATTGGTAACGTAATGAGACTAAACTATAGGTGCTAGTTCAAAGGAGCCCTTGTAGTGTAGTGGGTTACCCATTGGGTTGCTAACACAAGGTCAGTAGTTCAAGTCCACCAGGCAATTGAGGGAAAGATGAGGCTTTCTGCTCCTATAAAGACTTATAGCCTTGGAAACCCTATGCAGAGTCACTAAGAATCGGAACCGACTCCACCGCACATAGCCACCACCACCATGGGGGCCAGTTAAAAGCATTTTACTACAGTGTACATACATCAAACCTTAGAGCATTTTTGCCTTTATTATATTTTTATTACTGTTTAAAAATGAGGCAATGACTTTAAACAATATAAAAATCTTTGTATTAGGCTATAATATGAATTTCTAAAGCTTAAAAACTTTGCTAAGCTATCTAATCTTAGGCTAATGATTATACTTACATGCAAAATACCAATGAAAATATTTTTACTTATTTCTTAGACTGTCTTTAGATAACAGTTTGACAGCCACACAAGGGATATTGACACATCTCTGTTTTTCATATTTAACAATTATTTCTGGAAACCAAGAAAAAGTCCTACTGTCAAAGTATCTATACTTCTGCAGACAAGAAATAATTTATTCAAAGTTCAAAAATAGTCTGTGTTCACCTGTGGTTAAAGGCAGGTGTGTGATGCTGTTCAAGCAGGTCAGGGTGAACCACGTGGATGATAGTGTAGCCCCAGAAAACAGGAGGAGAAGAATTAGTTTCAGCATACCCCTGATAAAATCTGCAAACCTGAAAAGAAACAATGTTCTATTAATTCTAGCTGATTTTTTTCATACTATTTAAATCAGGGACACACTTTCATTCAACAACAATTGCTTAGATGATCTTCCATTCATTCTTTTAAAAGCAAGATTTGTTTTTGGTTTTCTTTCTTTCTTTTTTTTGTCCTATTCCCCCACACCTTTTATCAACCCCATCTAGACATGTTGGAAACAACTCAATGGAGATTCTACCTTTCCCTCTACCCTCTGGAACTAGGTTCCCTATTGAAAGTTTGTAAGCCAGTCACTTCTTGCCTTGTAGCCCCCCCATTTTGGGTAGCCAATGTCTAGGTTCCCCATCCTGTTGACCCTGTGTACCAAAGGGGTGGGAATGATCCTCACAGTGAAGCTTTGTTTGCTCCTTTGTCATACTGCATCCACAAGCATAGGTCATGTTCATCCCCTTGTAGTGTATTACAAGATTTGTTTTTAAGAATTGTTTTTATGATCATTGTTTTTCTTCTCTTACTCACAGAAAGGACTCTGAATTTTTAAATGTTACTTTAATTTCTTTTAGATTTTCTATAATTTTGAACATTCCAAAGTTAGTACACATTAATTACACTTTTAGAAAATACTTTATTTTGTTGATATAAACTTACAAATATGGCTCTCCCCAAACTGCAACTTACTTAAAACACATACAAATACCTACACCAGAGCCATGAAGGTTCTGCCTCGACTGTGCTGCTCCCCGCCCCCCCCCCACACACACACCCCAGTGCATTATACTATGTTCCAGTTGGGTTGCCCTGTCTGTTTCTCATGTATGGTAAGGCCATTTCCTACAGCACCATGCTGGCTGAGATGCAGGTACTCCCAGATCTTCACAAGATTTACTCCTGGTGATTGATTCTTTAGGTCACTCAGGTCTTGGCTCATATTTACCTCTCAAAGAGGAACTCCATGCTCACCCAATCTAAAGAAGCTCTCTCCAACCCATCTCCACACTCTGTTTTCATTTCTTCATAGCATCTATCTGTTTTGGAAATTCTCTTTTTTTCATTTGTTTACTTGTTAACTTTTTGTTTTTGCTACTGGACTGTAAGCTTCATGAGAACAAGAATGTAGTATATGGAATAATGAATCTCCCAAAACTCATTGCCAGCAAGTGGATTCTGACACATAGTGACCTTATAGACAGAGTAGAACTGTCTCAGAGGGTTTCCAGGGCTGCAATTTTTTTTTTCAATGTTTTATTGTGAATTATGTGATAGTTTACATGGGAGAACATTAGTTTTACATTCATCCTATCGTATATTGTTTCATTGCCATGGTTACAATCCCCTCCATGCATCATTACCCAACCAAAGGATATACTCTACAAGCCTGACTCCCCTCCCCAGTCGTCAGCACACAGCCCATCTCCCTCTCTGTGTCGAAAGTCCTCAGATGCTCCATCTCTCCACGTCATCATCTCTGCCTCCACCAGGGCTGTAAATTTTTATGGAAGCAGGAATGTTATATCTTTCTCGCACAGAGTGGCTGGTGGGTTCAAATGTCTAACCTTTGGGTTAGCAGATGAGTGTTTTAACCACTCACCACCAGGGCTCTGGAATAGTGATTATTATTCTTCAAAACTTGAGGCAAAATTTTTGTAGCATTTTAAGTTATTAAAAATCCCTGACTATTCCGGACTTAATACTGAACTAAAAGCAGTTTAATATAGATACTTATCCTTTAGTTATAACCAGAAAAATTTCCATATACCAATTGTTTCTCTTCATCTTCTGATTAGAAGATTAATTGCACAGGCACACCCCTCTGGCTGTGCCTATATGCAATTTACTCCATCTTTCATAAATGTTCCTATTGTAGAAAAATGGATATCATCCCAAGTATACTTACTATGCTAAAAGTATCCAACATCTATTCCACTTTGAATTTTTAAATTGATTATCATTTCTACTATAATTATGTGAGTATCCTTCCTAAGGCTTTCAAGACCATCTTTTGTTCTGCACTTACCTGACAAGCTTTGGTTAATCATGTTTGTAAGTGTTAGCTAGGCTAAAATGGCTTTATCTTGAAAGCTGATGCCATCTTTTGGTGGGAAAAATGCATGCACCTTTGTCCGATGATTTAGGTTTATTCTCATCCACAAAAGTTTCTAAGTAGAAAATTCTTATGTTCTGTGAAAAAGGCACCACCTTTGATAGCAATGTCCTTTAAGAACACCTGAAAAACTGGTTTTATTTTATGCTCACCAAATACTTTTCTGATTTATATTTCGGTATTCTGCATAAACTTATTCATCAAATCAGACAATGACCATGTATAAAAGAATAAAACAGCTTTCTGATACAAACCAGAGTGGAATAAAGTTTAATGGTGAGTAAGTGCCACACAAGTATAAACTGATCACTGTGTTCTGTTTATTCTTTTTGAGCGACCCAGTCTTTCAAATGGGCTAATTCCATCAAAGTATATTAGTAGGAAAGAAGTAGTACCAGACTGACCTTGTTTAACAACTTAATTACAAAAAATTGCCCAGCACACTCATGCCTGTAAGAAAATTCCATTTTATAAATCCCAAAGATAGTGCCATGAAAATAATTTTTAATTGATTTTAGGCTTAGGATATATCAAAAATTGATTTCGTATCCCAGAGTAAAGGCAGTGTTTTTTAGAACTTTCACCTCAACAAATTAAAAATATAAGTGTCCTTGTTCAATTTTTCCCTCTGGTGCTATCTATAGATAGTTAAAATTAAAGGTTTGAGGAAGAAAATCAAGGGAAAGGAGCATGGAAACGTCATTTGTGATACTTTGACCTATTTGGTGCTAAGAATAGTACCTGATCAATGATGACTCACTAAAATTGGCTGGGAGATTTAACTGCAAAAATTAGGTCTGATTCTTGTCAAACATGACAGGTCAATGTATTTCATTATCAGTGTAGCCTTTTCCAACAAATAGCCATCTACCTATTGCTCTTTTTGAGCTTTTATATTCTTATACTTTTACATCTTATATATAAAGTAACTGAGAAATTACAATGTCAATTTATTCTTTCATTATCCCAGAAACACCATACAAAGTGTAAGGTCTACATATAACATTACCCTATGTAAACTATGTTTAAGTGTTTGTATATTGAGGTGATTTACATATCTTATTTGATCTCCCCAAATATGTAATTAGATTCTTCCCATCCTAGATAGAGTTAATAGTCTAATTTTGCTTTTGATTAGACAGGGTGAAGTGATTTAGGTAGTGAATGAATATTATCTCTTTGAAAGCACTAGGAGTAGTTTTATAGACAGTCAGCTGAAAGAGTGACATTTTCATTTCTCTCTCTCTCTCTTTTACTTTAATAAATGAAGCCTTTTTATTCTAACTCATTCTCAAAATGTGCTGTCATAGTGGGTTACAAAAAAAGGGAGTTTGATGAAATAGGAAGTCTTTATGGACATTTTTCATCAAAATGGGATAACAATAGGCACATACCTGCCAAAAAAGACCAGGAATAAATATCTGCTAATCAGGGTGGTTAATCTTTATGTTTATCTTTAAAATGTTAAAGAGCAAAGATACCACTTTGAGGACTAAAGTGTGTCTGACCCAAGCCATGGTATTTTCAATCACCTCGGATGCATATGAAAGTTGGACAATGAATAAGAAGACCACAGAATGCTAAATGCATTTGAATTATGGTGTTGGAGAAGAATTTTTAAAGTACCATAGACTACCAGAAGAACAAACAACCTGTGCTGGAACAAGTATGGCCAGATTGCTCCTTAGAATCTTTAGAATCCTCCCATACTTTGGACATGTTGTTAGGAATGATTAACTTCTGGAAAGAGACCTCATGCTTGGTAAAGTAGAGGGTCCGCGAAAAAGAGGAAGACTCTCAATGAAATGGACTGCATATTGGCTGTAACAATGAACTAAAAAAAATAACTCTGAGGCTGGCACAGGGCTGAGCACTGTTTCTTTCAGTTGTCCATAGAGTTGGAACCAACTTCACGACACCTAACAACATGATCATAATGGCACTGCCTTTGGAGATGCACTTTTAAATTATTATTCAACTCTTTTCTACTCTTGATTACAATCAATTTGTCTTTATTATTATATCACCCTTCTTTGGGTTCCACTTGTAAATGTTATTCCCTAATAATATGGAGAAATCAAATTGACTACATCTGTGGAAAGAGACGATGGAAAAGCTCCATATCATCAGTCAAAACAAGGCCAGAGGCAGATTGTGGTACAGATCATCAATTGCTCATATGCAAATTCAAGCTGAAGCTGAAGAAAATGAAAACAAGTTCACGAGAGCCAAAATACAACATTGAATATATCCCACCTGAATTTAGAGATCATTTGAAGAACAGATTTGATACATTTAACACAAAAAACCAAAGACCAAAAGAGTTGTGGGATGACATCAAGAACATCATATATGAAGAAAGCAAAAAGTCATTAAGAAGACAAGAAAGAAGGAAAAGGTCAAAATGGATGTCAGAAGAGACACTGAAACTTGTTCTCCAGTGTAGAGATGCTAAAGCAAATGGAAGAAATGAGGAGGTCCAAGAGCTGAACAGAAAATTGCAAAGGTCAGTTTGAGAAGACAAAATCAAATATCACAATGAAATGTGAAAAGATCTGGAGTTAGAAAACCAAAAGGAAAGAACACACTCAGCATTTCTCAAGCTGGGGGAACAAAAGAAAAAAAATTGAAGCCTCAACTTTCGTTATTGTAGGATTCTCTGGGCAAATTATTGAATGACGCAGAAAGCATCAAAAGAAGATGGAAGGAACATACAGAGTCATTATACCAAAAGGAAATGGTTGATGTTTAACCGTTTCAAAAAGTAGCATATGCTCAAGAACCAATGATACTGAAGGAGGAAGTCCAAGGTGCATGGAAGGAATTGGCAAAGAACAAGGCACCAGGAATTGATGGAATAAAAACATTGAAATCTTTCCAGAAAGTGAGGCGGCATTGGAGGCACTCAACTCATCTCTGCCAAGAAATCTGGAAGACAACTATCTGGCTGACTGATTGGAAGAGTTCTGTATTTGTTCCCATTCCAAAGCGAGTGACCCAACGGAATGCGGAAATCATCAGAGAATATCTTTGATATCCCATATGAGTAAAGTTTTACTAAAGGTAATACAGAAATGGCCACAATCATACATTGTCAGAGAACTTCTAGAGGACATGGCACAAGGGATATATCATTGCTGATGTCCGATGGATCTTGGCTGAAAGCAGAGAATATCAGAAATATGTTTACCTGTGCTTTATTGACTATGCAAAGGCTTTCAATTGTGTGGATCATGACAAGCTATGGGCAGCATTGCAAAGTATGAGTATTCCTGAACACTTAATTGTACTCATGAGGAATCTGTACCTGGACCAAGAAGCAGCTGTTCGAACAGAACATGGGAATACTGAATGGTTTAAAATTAAGAAAGGTGTGCGACAAGGTTGTATTCTTTCACCATGCTTATTCAACCTGTATGCTGAGCAAACAATCCAAGAAGCTGGGCTATATGAAGAAAAACGTGGCATCAGGATATCAGGATTGGTGGAAGACTCATTAACAACCTGTGATATGCAGATGATATTACCTTGCTTGCTGAAAGTGAAGAGGACTTCTTAAAATACTTACTGATGAGGATCAAAGAGCACAGCATTTGGTATGGATTGCATCTCAATGTAAAGAAAACAAAAATCCTCACCATTGGACCAAAAAAACATTTTTATCAATAGAGAAAAGATTGAAGTTGTCAAGGACTTCATTCTTCTTGGATCAACTATCAACTCATGGAAGCAGCAGTCAAGTGATCAAATGATATATTGCATTTAGTAAATCTGCTGCACAAGAACTTTTTAAAGTGTTTAAAGAGCAAAGATGTCAGCTTAAGGACTAAGGTGCGCCTGACCCAAGCCATGGTATTTTCAATAACCTCATATGTATGTGAAAGCTGGACAGTAAATAAGGAAGACCATAGAAGAATTGATGCTTTTGAGTTATGGTGCTGGAGGAGAATATTGAAAGTGCCATGGGCTGCCAAAGGAACAATCTGTGTTGGAATCAGTGCAGCCAGAGTGTTCCCTGGAGGCCAGGATGGCCAAACTTCATCTATCATACTTTGGACATATTGTCAGGAGGGACCAGTCAGTCGCTGGAGAAGGATATCATGTTTGGTAAGGTGGAGGGTCAGAGAAAATGAGGAAGACCCCCAGTGAGATGACTGGCCAAGTGGCAGCATCAATGGGCTCAAGCGTAGCAACAATTGTGAGGTTGGCCCAGGATCGGGCAGTGGTTCATTCTGTTGTGCATAGGGTCGCTGTGAGTCGGTACCTACTCGATGGCACCTAACAACAATAATATTGAGAGGCAGCTTAATTACAGTGGAAATATATTACCAGTTTTGAAAAAAACATTTTAAGAAAGCTTACCTCTGAGGAGGTTTCTTTTAGTAAAAAGATCTATCTACTGTGAATTTCCTAAAGCCTGAGTAAGTGTACTTTTCTACCCTGTGTGTGTTTTACTTTTCTCTGATTTTCACATGTTTCTGTAGACGCTAAATTTTTATTTTAATTTCTGTTCACTTACATGTTAAGCATAAAATATTCTTACCTTGCCATAGCTATGCCAACAACACAGCCTCCAACTATGGACCAAAATCCAATCCATCCAGCATCTACCTGTCAAGAAAATGGCAGACAATGTTTGAGACAAGATCGTCATGCTATGATTTAGAAAGAAGAAAAAAGAACCCAACAAAGATATTTGATAAACAAAACATTCTAGCTAAATGGCAACAAATCTAGGTAATATTATCTAATGTTGTTGTTGCTGTTAAGTGCCGTCAAGTCAGCTCTGACTCATAGCAATCCTATATAGGGTTTCTGAGGAGCCACTGGTGAGTTTGAACTGCTGGCCTTGCAGTTCAACGTGACCCTGTAGTTCAGGGCTTATCCTACAGCTCCACAAAACAACTAGTAAATAGTTAAATTATAAAACATCTTGCAACAGCTAAAAATGACTTACGAGACCAGCAAAGCGAGAGAAAAACGGTAGATTACATACCTGAGGGAGACTGGACCCAGAAAGAAAACTTGAATTGACTTTCAAATGCAAATGTCTCTCCCAAGAAACCTTTTCTAGTTCTGCTCTTTACTAGCTATGTGACGCTGGGAAAATTGTCTTCTTATTTATAAAATAAATTCATTGGTGATTTACATATAGCACTTTGATCAGTAGCCAGCATACAGTTACGTTACCTGTTATTATTACCTGATGATGTTTCTCCATCTATCTAATGTCCTATTTCTTTCCTAACTTCATAGCTAAACCTTTTCAGAGTAATCTGCAAATACTACCTACAGTTCCTAATCATTAATTATCATTTTCTCTTAGTATGACTTGTCTGTTGTCCTAACCCACACTCTAAGCCTTCCTCATTAGTAGAATATGGATGTTGCCGTCAAGTCAGTTCTGATTCAGTTCTGACCCTCTGGATAAGCTTTCTGAGAAGTGGCTGGCTGGCTTGAACTGCCGATATTGTGGTTAGCATTCCTGTGCTTATCCTACAGCACCACACCAAGACTCCAAAATAGGGATAGTAAAGTATTTTTGAGGTTTGTTGTTGTTAGGTACCATCAAGTCAATTTTTGACTCAAACTTCATATGACAGAATAGAATTGCCCTAAGGGTTTTCTTGGCTATAATTGTATGGACAGGGGTCCTAGTGACACAGTGGTTATGTGCTCATCTGTTAAACAAAAGGTTGGTGGTTTGAACCCACCAGCCCCTCTGCAGGAGAAGATGCGGCAGTTTTCATCCATAAAGATTGTAGCCTTGGAAACCCTATGTGTCAGTTCCACTCTGTCCTACAGGGTTGCTGTAAATCAGAGTGGACTCATTGGTAATGGGTTGTTAATCTTTAATCTTTGTGGGAGCAAATCACCAACGTTTTCTCCTTTGGAGCTGATGGGTGGGTTTGAACCACCAAGCTTTCAATTAGCAGCAGAGCGTATAACCACTCCTTTTAGAAGACTGTTGTTGTTAAGTGCTATTGAGTCAGTTCTGACTCATAGTGATATGTTAAAAAATGTTAAATGTTCAATACATGTTAGTTGTCATTACTGAAAATCATGTGTCCCAAACAACAGTGCATTTGATCTCTTTCCTCTTCCCACAGCCATCACATGCATGTATTCCTTATTTCTTACTCCTGGACTGCTATAACAATCTCTTAAAAGGTCCTCAACCTATCCTGTCCACTACTGCCAGAATACTTAGCCCAACCATTCAATTTCCCTGCTGAAGATGATTATTGACTTCTCTTGTGGCTGAAGGGAAAAGTCCAAAGTTAAACTTACACTTGTTGTTGTTGTTGTTATGTGCCGTCGAGTCGGTTCCGACCCATAGCGACCCTGTACAGGGTTTCCGAGGGTGTAAATCCTTACGGGAGTAGAAAGCCTCATCTTTCTCCCGCGGAGCAGCTGGTAGTTTTGAACCGCTGACCTTTAGGTTCGCAGCCCGATTCGTAACCACTACGCTACCAGAGGGACCTGCCAAAATTCCTATCTTTCATTATTTTCATAGTCATACACTTGGGATTATAGCCTGTTGCTATTACATGGGATTACAGGCGTCTTGGAGTACTGGTGTGGCACTGTGGGTTAATTCACCAGACTGCAAAGCTGTTTGAACTGCAAGGTCAGTGGTTCAAGCCCACCAGCTGCTCCCCGGAAACCCTATGCAAGGTCACTATGGGTCGGAATCGACGCAACGGCACTTCACAACAACAACAACAACATAGGAGTCTTGGTGTGGTGCTGCTGTAGGATAAGCACTAGGAAGCAAGGTCAGTTTGAATCATAAAGTTGATGGTTCAAACTCACCAGCCGCTCCTTGGGAACCCTATACAAGGTCGCTATGAGTTGGAACCGACTCAACAACACTTAACAACAACAATAACAAATAGCCATGACATGTTGTTGTTTGCTGTTAACTGCTGTCTGCTCAGTTCTGACTCATAGTGACCCTGTATAGAGTTTCTGAGGAGCAACTGGTGGGCTTGAAACATACAGCTTGCTGTCAGCACCATAGCAAAACTCTAGAGACAGCATATAGGTTAGGATTTACAACACATATTTTGGGGGGACACAATTTAATCTGCAACACCCAGACAAGAGAAGATTTACATTTGGGCAGGCTGTTGAGTGGGTGGGCTTGTAAAAAACCCCAGACTTTAGTTGGAGACCCTGAAGGATTACACCTTAAAAGTAACGGAAACTGAAAAGAAAACAGTATTCAAAGGGACTAAAGCCCAGTTTAAAATGATCTCAACCACTGAAACTGGTGTAAGGTGATCCCTAGATTCCTGTCAAAAGCAAACATAAATCCTCTCTGGAGGAAAACATCTTGAAGCTTAAATGATATCTAGAGCTATTCATATATGATGTCTAGCATTCAATCAAAAATGTTCAGTCACATACGAAGATAGGAGAATATGAAAGAGTACCAGAAATAGAAATAGACCCACAAAGGATCCAGATAATGGAATTATAAAAGACAGATTTAAACAACTACTTTAGTAGCTTTAAAAAAAACAAAAATAAGAATTAAGTCTGTCAGTTTGTTGTACTATGGTGGCTTATGTGTTGCTTAAAGCTATGCTGTTGGTATTTTGAATATCAGTGGTGGTTATGTGCCATAGAGTCGGTTCCGACTCATAGTGACCCTGGACAGGGTTTCTAAGGCTGTAAATCTTTACGGGAGCAGAAAGCCTCATCTTTCTCCCGTGGAACAGCTGGTAGTTTTGAACTGCTGACTTTGCAGTTCGCAGCCCAATTCGTAACCACTATGCTACCAGAGCTCCTTAGAGGTTTCATATTATCAAGTCAGAGCAAGGTCAAGGGAAGACTGTGAAATAGACCATCAATGGCTCATATGCAAGCTCAGGCTGAAGCTGAAGAAAATGTAAACAAGTTCAGGAAGGTGACCTTAGTATCTGAATTAAGATGCCATCTTAAGAACAGATTTGACGCATGAGACACTAATGACTGAAGACAACAGGAGTTGTGGGAAAACAGCAAGAACATCAGACATGAAGAAAGCAAAAGGTCATTAATGAGATATGAAAGAAAGAAAAGACCAAAATGAATGTCAGAAGAGACTCTGAAACTTGCTCGTGAATGTAGACAAGCTAAAGCAATGGGAAGAAATGAGGAAGTGAAAGAGCTGAATAGAGAATTTTAAAAGGATAGCTTGAAAAGACAAAGTAAAGTATTATAATGAAATATGCAAAGTCCTAGATTTAGAAAACCAAAAGGGAAGAACACATGGAGCATTTCGCAAGCTGAAAGAACTAAAGAAAAATTCAAGCCTTGACTTGCAACACTGCAAGATTCTTTGGGCTAAACATTCAATGATGTGGGACGCATCAAAAGAAGATGAAAGAAATACACAAAATCATTGAACCAAAAAGAATTGGCCGATGTTCAACAATTTCAAGTGGTAGCATACAATCAAAAACTGATGGTACTGAAGGAAGAACTCCCAGCTGCACTGAAGGCATTGACAAAAAACAAGGCTCCAGGAACTGATGGAATACAAATTGAAATGTTTCAACAAACGGATACATTGCTGGAAGCACTAATTTTACTATGCCAAAAAATATGGAAGATAGCTATCTGGCCAATTTGAAGAGACCCATATTTGTGCCCATTCAAAAGAAAGGTGAGCAAACATACTGCAGACTGCAGAAATGATTGAACAATATCATCCAACATTACACAGAAAAAATTTTACTGAAGAGAATTACAAATTGGTTGCAGCAGCACATCAACAGGGAGTTGCCAGAAAGTCAAGCAACAATGGACTTGTTCAGGAGCAAAGATGTCAGTTTGAGGACTAAGGTGCACCTGCCCCAAGCCATAGCATTTTCAATCACATCATATGTATGTGAAAGCTGGACAATGAATAAGGAAGACCAATAAATCAATGCATTCGAGTTATGGTGTTGGCGAAAAATATCAAAAGTACCATGGACTGCCAGAAGAACAAACAAATCTGTCTAGGAAGAAGTACATCCAGATTGTTCTGAGAAGCCAAGATGATGAGGCTTCATCTCTCATACTTTAGACATGTCGTCAGACAGTACCAGTTCTTGGAGAAAGACTTCACGCTGGGTAACGGGGTGGTGGTGGTTGTGTGACATGGAGTCGGTTCCGACTCATAGCGACCCAGCATAGGGTTTCCGAGGCTGTAAATCTTTACGGGAGCAGATTTCCAAGGCTGTAAATCTTTACAGGCTGTAAATCTTTCTCTCGTGGAACTGCTGGTAGTTTCGAACTGCTGACCATGAGGTTAGCAACCCGACTTATAAACACTATGCTACCAGAGCTCCTTTGGTAACATGGATGGTCAGTGAAAAAGAGAAAGACCCTCAATGGGACGGACTGACACAGTGGCAGCAACAATGGACTTGGACATAACAATTGTGAGGATGGTACAGGACTGTGCCATGTTTAGTTCCATGGTTCACAGGGTTGCTATGAAACAGAACCAACCAACAATATAAAAAAGAAGCAAATGAACATTTTAGAACTTAGAAAATATTAACATGGATTTATAAAGCACAGATTTAACAGTGTATTACACAGACCTGGTAACTGAAACCATGAGTTGGAAGAAAGGCCAGAATAAAATATCTAGTTTGAACCATGGAAAAGATAAAGGATGGACTATTTAGCAGACAGAATAAGAGACAGAATGTGAAGTTCTAACATATGTAATTAGAATCCCAGATGGAGAAGACAGAATGTGTATAAGTTTTGAAGAGATATTGACTGAAAACGTTCAGACACTGACAAGAGACATCAAACTACAGAATTAAGAAGCCCTACAAAACTCAAGCAGGAAAATCACCACCTAGTTATAATAGAGCTGCTGAAAACCAAGATACATTAAAACAAAACAGAACAAAACAAAACATTCAGCTGGTGAACTTCCGAGCTGACAGAGCAAGAAAGTGGAGTGGCTTGCCTGCAGATTTGAGTGCCTCCCAGGCATTTGTCTGGGGAGCTAGATTTACTGAAGCTTAACGGTGGAGTGGAGTGCCTTTGGGCATTTAGCAGCATAAGTAAAAGAGCAATGCAACATAGCGGAAGCAGGGCAGAGGCCAAGGAGCTGCATGGCTAAGAGGACCTGAGAAGGGGCAGAGCCGAGAAGGGGCTATCCTGACAGTATAAAGAGTATCCTGAGCATTTGTGATCCTGAATTGTAATCTGTTAACTTCCCTAATGGAGTCTTGGTGTGGGGCTGTAGGTAAATGCGCTGGACTGCAAAGTCACCTTGAACTGCAAGGTTGGCAGTTCAAGCTCACCAGTCGCTCCTCAGAAACTCTATACAGGGTCTCTATGGGTTGGAACCGACTCAATGGCACTTAACAACAACTTCCCTAGTAAACCCCATAACCATGAAAAAATAAACAAAACTAACTTCTCACTCAAAATAGTGAAAACCAGTAGAAAATGGCATATTTTCAAAATGCTGAAACACAGTAACTGTCAACTGATAATTCTATGACCGACAAAATATCTTTCACAAATTAAAGTATAAAGAAGACATTTTACCAAATGACAGAATTTGTCACCTGCAGATATGCACAAAAGGAAACATTTAAAGGTCTTTCCTAGAATGAATTTTGCCTTCATTCCCTTGCCCCCTATTTTTTTGTTGTTATTGTTGGAGTCCTGACCCCTATGCTTAAGGATGTAAATCCATTTGGTACTAGGGTTTTCTTTGTTGTTATGTTAATGAGAACATTCCTGTCAGGGTGTCTTAAATCTAATAACTTTGGGGATCTAAAAAGAGATGATTAGGCACAGAGAAGGACGCACAAACAGGGAAGACAGATGTCACATGACGATTAAAAAATATATGAGGAACAAAAGTTGAAAGAGACAAAGATCTCACAGAAATGACAGAGAGAAGGCCTTACCCTACAGCCAGCGCCCTGAATTCATATTCCCAGCATTCTGCACTGTGAGAAAAAGCTATCCACTTGTGGTACTTCTGTTAAAGTAACACTAAGAAACTAAGACAGTGTTTTTTAAATAAGGAAAAAATGATCACAGATGAAAAATTAAAGATACTAAAATAAATGAAGAGCAAAAGCAAGGGTAAATATAAGAATGAATTTCAATGAATATTGATTGTACAAAGCAACCATAATAATGTCTTGTACAATTAAAAAAACAAAACAAAAAAATGATGGAAGAAAGTTAAATGAAGTTAAAGGATTCTAAGGACCTTGGCCTGACCATGAACAAATAAAAGTGCTATTAATAAACCTTGATAAGCCAAGTGTGTATGCTGTAATTTCCAACATAACAACTAAATAATGAGAGTCCATAACTACCAATCTAAAACAAAGAAAAGTATAATAAAAAAAAACACTGAATTTATCCAGAGGAAGGTAAGACAGGAGTAGAAAAGGATATATTAGATGGGATCAAATGAAAAACACTAATAAAATGGTATCGTGATGTGCCGTGAAGTCAGTTCTGACTCATAGCGACCCTGCACAGGGTTTCCAAGGCTGTAAATCTTTACAGGAGCAGAAAGCCTCATCTTTCTCCCGATAAACAGCTGCAAGTTTTGAACTTCTGACCTCAAGGTTCGCAGCCTGATTTGTAACCAATACACTACTAGAGCGCCTTAAAAAATGGTATAGTCAAATCCAAATTTATCAATAATTATATTAAATGTAAATGGTCCAAACACTTCAATTAAAAGATGATTAGAATAAATAAAGTAGTACCATTTATAAGAGGTGTATCAAACAAATGTTTAAAAGCTAAAAAAACAAAGAAAAAAGTTACGTAGTTGATTTTTGCTATTTGTGGTAATTATGTTTTATGAAGTTGCCACCAACACTGAGTTAGAGAATACTGAATTACTGCCTCTAGGGGAATTATGGGGTTAGGTTTCTGCCAGCTTCTGGCCACACATTTTTCATTAACCAATCGATATACAATCTTTATCTTACATGTGGTTTTGTTTCTAAATAAACTTATTGACTATATATTGATGATTATTTAATATTGAAATCATGCTCAACAGTCATGACTGTGTTCAAGCAGTCCAAGTAGGCCTTGGTAGGCCTAGGCCATGGCCCTCGCTTCTAAAGCCTGCAATTTGTGACCTATCAACAGGATCCTTAGTGCTTTAAGAAGGTGTTAGTGAGGTCTCGGTCTGGCTTCACCAGAACACCAAGACCTCAGTAACTGCTTGACTTTTCTGCTTGGCACTCTCCCTAGGGTATGTAGGTTTGTCTTGTACATGTCAGTTTGAACCTCAACCAAGGACTTACTGGGTCCCCCAACAGACTTCTCAGGCATCGTTTCTGCTCATTTTCCTTTCCTACAAATCAGTAAGAAAAAGGCAGCCTGATAATGGGCAAGACACAAAAACATATATGCCACCAAAAGAAGATTTCAAGTATCCAATTACCATTTGAAAAGATATTATGGAGGAAACTACAATGGCACACAACTGTGTAGTCATCAGCTAGTCAAAAATGAAAAAGACTGACATTACCAAGTATTGGCAATCATGTGGAAAATGAGAGATCTCATGCAGTGCTGATGGGATTGTACATTGGTACAACTACTTTAGAACTGTACATATGCACCCATCAAAGTATACACATACACCCTAAGCAGTAATTCCAGTTCTTGATACATATTCAATAGAAATATGTACAGACATGCATTAAGAGACATATAAAAGAACACTCATATAACCTTTTTTTTTTTTTTGGTAACAGCCCCAAACTGGAAATGATCTAAACGCTCATCAAAAGCAGAATGAATGAAAAATTGTTGTTTATTCATATGATGTATTTTTTCCATTTACCCCTCCAAATCTCTCTAGCTCTTTCTGCCAGAAGAACCAATAGATCTGTTTTAGAAGTGCAGCCAGAGTGCTCCTTGGAGGCCAAGATGGCTAAGCTTTGTCTCTCATATTTTGGACATATTGTCCGGAGGGAACAGTCGCTGGAGAAGGATGTCATGCTGGGTAAGGTGAAGGGTCAGAGAAAAAGAGGAAGACCCCCAATGAGATAGATTGGCCAGGTGGCATCACTGATGGACTCAAGTGTGGCAGCGGTGGTGAGGTTGGCCCAGGATCGGACATTGTTTCGTTCTGCTGTGCATGGGGTCACTATGAGTCGGTTCTGACTCGATGGCACCTGATAACAACAACAACACCTGGAGAAGGATATCATGTTTGGTAAGGTGGAGGGTCAGAGAAAAAGAGGAAGACCCCCAGTGAGATGGATTGGCAAAGTGACAGCATCAATGGGCTCAAGTGTGGCAACAATTGTGAGGTTGGCCCAGGACTAGGCAGTGTTTCGTTCTGTTGTGCATAGGGTCACTATGAGTCAGTACCAACTCGATGGCACCTAACAACAACAACATCTTGAGCAAGGAGGAGAAATAGCAGCAGCAAGTTATAATGGTTACTTTTAAAAACATGACATACCTTATTATGAGACTGCAAAGAAACTGAAAATTTAAATATAGGGCATATATATTTGAAAATGAGATCTTAATCTTTATAAAGTAGGAAGCAAGGATAAAGGATGAAGTTAACGAAACAAAGATCTGACTCTTCATTTTTCAATCTGTTTATCAGCATCATTTATAACATCCAAAGAAATCCTGGTATGGCGCTATAGGATAAGTACTACAAGGTTGGTTTGAAAAGCCAGGTTGGCAGTTCAAACTCACCAGGGTCACTATGAACAAGAACTGACTCGATGGCACTGAACAACAACAAATCAAAATTAAGGGGGGAAAAAAATCAACATTGTTTTACTATATAGCTATTCCATAGGGACCTAGCTTTTCCAACAATGGTATAATGTATGACCTATGTTCTGAAACTAATATCAATACTTACAATTTAAATAAACTAAAATACCTACATTATATAAACAAATAAAATACTTACTTGGCTCACATGTACTGGTGTCAAAATTAAGTCCAGAACTCCAGACCAGCCAGCAAATACACCAAGTGGTATGGCATATGCCAAAGCAATCATCAAAAACCTCAGGTTACTGTAAACAAGAAATGAAAGAAAACATCATTACAAATTAAACCACCAGAATTTAAATTCTTCCTCATGAAAGCTACAAGTCACTTGGAAATTGGAATATCAGAATCAGAATAGCAAGTATCTGTCAACTTGTTAATTCAAGGTTATTTACATTTTTATGAGTTATCCTTTTTGTCATATTGTTTAAAATTGATCAATGTATACTTTATTTGTAGCTGAATTGTTAGAATTATTTTATGGAAAGAAAAACCAAGCCTATATTTGAAAGAACAAATGTCTGTTTCTCCTTATGAAAAAGGTGTACAGAGAAAAGCAAAGATAAAAAAGAAATGTATACCTTGATATACATCAACTAACAAGTTTTCACACAGTAACTTCCACTTTATTATTTTTGAAGTCTTTATTAAAAAATTTCCAATAGGCAATACAATTTAAATAATTCAAAATTTTAAGATATAAAAGTATGGGGAAAATATCTTCTCCTTAACTCTTTCCTCAGCCACATAGTCCCTTGCCCTACAATTTCCAATATAACTAATCTCTTGGGTAACTGCCCCCCAAAATATTTCATAAATACACAAGCCAATACAAATACATATATTTTTCTTCCAATATTTTATGCAAATGGTAGCATATTATAGACTTAATAGGCCTTAAAGTTATTTTAATCCACACATATTACATTATTGTTAAGTGCCATGGAGTCGGTTACCACTCATAGCGACCCTGTATAGGGTTTCTGGGGCAATAAATCTTAGTGGTAGCAGAAAGTCTCATCTTTCTCCTATGGAGCGGTGGGGTGAGCCCACTAGCCTTGTGGTTTGCAGTCCAGTGCTTATCCTATAGAGCCACTATGTTTCCTATCTGTATACATAGAACTCTATCAATCTTCCTTATATGTATATAATATTCCACTGTCAGTATATTATTATCTATCAGTCTCCTTACTGATGGTGGTGGTTATGTGCTGTGGAGGCAGTTCTGACTCATAGCGACCCTTTACAGGGTTTATGAGGCTGTAAATCTTTACGGGAGCAGAAAGCCTCATCTTTCTCCAGTTTCTGGTAGTTTCCAATGACTGACCTTGCAGTTAGCAGCACGATTCGTAACCACTACGCTACCAGAGCTCCTTCCCCTTCCCTTACTGATATGGCTTTTTTTTTTTTTTTTTTTGCTTTTACAGTCATTTCACATGTGTAGAATCAATTCATAGAAATGTAATGACCATGTCAAAGACTATGTGTATTTGTAATTTTAACCAGCATTACCAATTGTCCTCCACAGAGGTTGTACCAATTTATATTACCATCAGCAACTGTTTGAGAGTTATCTGTTTTCTCCAAAACCTCACTAACATGTTGTTGTTGTTAAGTACCGTGGAGTCAGTTCCGACTCATAGTGACCCTGCACAGGGTTTCCGAAGCTGTCATTCTTTATGGAGCAAAAAGCCTCCTCTTTCTCCCGCAGAACGGCTGGTAGTTTCAAACTGCCGACCTTGAGATTAGCAGCCTGATTCATAACCACTACGCTATCACCAACATAGGTACTAGAATACTTTTTTTTTTTCTCACTTTTTTTTCTTTGGGGGGGGGGGTGGAATTTTCTTTTTTCAGATTTGATGAGTGAAATGTAGTATCTCAATATAGTTATGTGTTCATTCTCTCATATGAGATGTTTACTTATTTTCATATATATAAATCATATATGTATGATTTCTATTCTGTGAATGGTCTGTTTATATCCTTTGTCTATTTTTCTACAGAATCATCAGTCATTTTCATATTTGTTTGTAAAAGGTCTTTAAACACTAGGGTAATAAGCACTTCACTGATGACATAAGTTGAAAATATTCCCAGTTTATAATTTTTTTTTTTTTTATGATAGTGGTGATACCATGCGATAATTCTTGCTTTTCATACTGTTGAGTTTATAAATAGCATTAACTCAATAAACCCAAATAACTATTTGTTGCCTCAATTTCTAAATTGATGGGTTTATTTCTGAAATTTTGATTATATCTCATTCTGTTTGTCTACTCATTCATCATTTAAAATATTAAATCTTTATAATATGCATCTGTCAGTTCTTTGTCAAACTCCTTTTTTTCAGATTTTTAAAAGTTATTCTTACTCATTTGTTTTTCCATAAGAACTTAAAAATCAATTTCTATAGTTGGTGAAAAATCCTGCTGGCACTTTAAAATTTAGAAATATGACAAATTTAGACTCATTCAGGGAAAAGTAACATCTTGACATTGAGTCTTCCTGTGGATGAGAACAGTCTTCTATTTATATCTTCTTTTGTGCCCTTTAAAGCCATTTAAAATATTTCTTAGACATATCACAGTTATTGTTAAGGTTATTACAAGGTATTTTATCTTTTGTTGCTATTGCAAGTAGATCTGTTTTGGTTTTTGGCTAACAGGTGGTTGTTTTTATATATGAAGAGAACTGTTTTCTGAGTACTAATTCTAGACCCAAGCCTCTAATTCTCTTATTGTTCCTAATAAAATACTAAGCTTTAACATTCATTAGAACTGTTTTAACTGTGGGAATGCCCTAACTGATATGACAATGATCTCCCCCAGGAATATCAGTAAAGATAAAATAAAAATATTTATTTCTTCATAAAATTTATCCAATCAGTGCAGAGATGTTTGTACAGAAATATACTCCTCAAAAATATACCTGCTTTAAAGGTGTCCTACCACTTCATTTTGTATCCCTGGAGCTTCTCACAACTAAAATAATTCCTTTTGCTCTATCATTAATAATATTGTAATGATTGAAAACAAGAAGGCTGAATTTAGTTTGTTTAGAAGCATTGAAAAAATTAAGGAAATCCAGTTGTTAGGTGCCATCAAGTTAGTGTCATAGTGACCCACGTACAGAAGAACGAAACACGGCCTGTTCTACTCCACTTCATACTTCTTGTCATGTTTGAGCCCACTGTTGCCGTCACTGTGTTAATCTCTCTTGTTGGGAGTCTTTCTCTTTTTTGCTGGCCCCCTACTGTGCCAAGTATGATGTCCTTCTCTGGGAACTTCCTTCCTGATAACACATCCAAAGTATGTGAGACACAGTCTCAGCACTGTCATTTCTAAGGAGCAATCTGGCTGTATTTTTCCAAAACAGATTTGTTCATTCTTCTGACAGTCCATGGCATATTCAATATTCTTTGCCAACACCATAATTCACAAGCATCGATTCTTCTCCAGCCTTCCTTGTTCACTACCCAGCTTTCACATGCATATGTTGTTGTTGTTGTTATTGTTAAGTACCACTGAGTTGGTAGCGACCCTGTATAGGGTTTCTGAGGAGCAGCTGGTAGATTTGAACTGCCAACCTTGTGGTTCTCAGTCCAGTGCTGATCCTACAGTGCCATACCAAGAGTCCTGGTGAGACAACTGAAAATGCAGTGAAATTGCAAATTGGGAAAATGATAAAAGTAAAAGTATGGAAAAAGATAAACCATGGATATCCTAATCAAAAGAAAGCTTAGTAAACTAAATAAGAGAAAGTTATATATCATATAAAATACAAGTTTAAAAAACACACACATCATACACCCTTTGGTTGGTTGATGATGCATGAAGGGGATTGTAACCATGGCAATGAAACGATATATGATAGGATGAATGTAAAGCTAATGTTCTCCCATGTAAACTATTACATAACTTAGAATAAAACATTAAAAAAAAAACAAAACCACACACACATCAAAATATTCTATGAGAGGGAACTCATAATGATAAATGCTTCAATATATCAGGAAGACAGAACGAATCTAAACTTTTATACTATAGAATACAGACATTATCAGGAGGGACCAGTTCCTGAAGAAGAACATTATGATTGGTTAAGTGGAGGGTCAGTGAAAAAGAGGAGGATCCCCAACCAGATAGATGAACACCATGGCAGCAGCAATGGGCTCAAGTGTAACAACAATTAGGATGGTGCAGGGCCAGCCAGTGTTTTGTTGTGGCTTTGCATGGAGAAACTGTTAAATATCTTTTCTAACACTGTCATTTTGAAACTGTTATCTTACAAATGTGTGTCGCTGATCACAATTCTATTTCATTAATATTTGTTTCTTCACTTACTATGTAGAAGATAATTGACTAGGTGCTAAAGTGAAATCTTCAAAACATATTATTGTATACCAGAATAAGAAAGGTATTTTACATGTGATCTGTCTATACATACAAAGGAATCAAAAGTCTCACAAAAATAAGATCTATACTTTATTTGATGCAATAATATTTTCTATTCTATTTTATTCCACTCTCCTCTATTTAAAAGACAAAAAACGAACAAACCAACAACCCATGGTGAACCCACTCAACCAGTTGGCTGTGAATCAAAGTGTCAAAAACAATTTCAAGACAAATGTGGTTATTGAATACTTGAAATGCAATTGAGAAATTAAAATTTTAATTTTATTTCATTCAAATTAATTTAAATCTAAATTTAATAACAGAAGGTATGCTAAGTATTACCCATTAAACACAACTACATTTAACTTTAACTGCTACATTGCATAAAATATTACTATAGCGCACACATCAGGGAGTGTTTCTAGTACTATAATCCATCACTGATGCTCTTGGTGTTAATGAATTGATTCAGTTTGAATTAATTTTTTTTCTACACACAGATAAAACAAAATTTGTTGCAGTGGAGCAAAATGAACTGCCTGGAGTGTAAAAATATTTCTAATGATAATTTAATGGATAATATTAAGAGATATTTTCAGCAAATATATACATGAATATGATGAAGATATTGCAGGTTCGGTTCCAGACCACTGCAATAAAGCAAATATCACAATAATGTCAGTTACATAAAATTTTTGGATATACCTCAGGGCTTCGAAAACTTCATGGAGAAATTCCATGATCTTTTAATTCCATTTATAATGGAATTAAAAAATAATTCCAATTAAAAGTTATGTTTACACTAAACTTCAGTCTACTAAATGTATAATGGTGGTGGTGGTGATGGCGATTGTGTGCCCACTACATCAGTTCTGACTCACAGTGACCCTGTGTAGGGTTTCCAAAATGTACAACAGCATTGTGAAAAATATTGTGAGAATTACCAAAATGTGACAGAGACATGAAGTAAGCACATGATACTGAGAAAATGGTGCCAATAGACTTGTTCCATACAAGGTTGCCACAAACCTTCAGTGTGCAAAAAATGCAGTATCTGGGAAATGTAACAAAATGAGGCATGCTTGTAGTGAATTTAATAAAAAAGTTTCTTTTCAACAATCAAAACATAGTCAAGAAAATTAGTTGCCTGAAGTCAGAGTTAAGTGCCCAAAATGCATTTTTTTAAATGAGTTTTGAACAGAATCTGAGAGAGTTACTTTGGTAACTACAAAATGAATTGGAGTCTTCACAAAAGTAAAACCATTTTTATAAGTGTAGATATGGTATTTCAGAAAAAATTTTGTATAAAAATTATGAGGAAAAGACTAAAAATATATTTTGCAAAAATGAATGATCTTTAATTAAGTCACCAAATGTGGCTTAAAGCACTGGACTGCAAGGTTGGTTTCAACTGAAAGGTCGGCACTCAAACTTAACCAGCCACTCCTCGGAAAAACAATACAGGGTCGCTGCGAGTTGGAACTGAATTGAAAACACTTAACAACAACAACAATAATATCAAATATCTGTTGACTTTGTAAGTATTAAAATGAATACTACAATATGAACAAAAATGATGAAATAATAATTTCCAACTGTAAACTTTATGAAATCTAAATACAGATCAAGTATTTTCAATGAAAATTTAGTGTCTGAATTGAGACGTTCTGCAAATAAAATAAATACTGGATTTCAAAGTTTTTGCATGAATAATGACCGTAAAACATCTCATTATTTTTAACATTACCTTTATTGTAAACATATCCATTCATGTGGTGGGCAATACAAGAAGGAAAGTTATGAAAAAATTTTAAGACAATACCAAACACCTTGAGGGAATGAGTTACTAAGCCTAGGGGCACAGGACCATGGTATCCAGAGACACCATGGTCAACTGGCATAACATAGTCCACAAAGACAATGTTCTACCTCGTCGTTAGGTGAGTAGAGGCTGGAATCTTAAAAGTTCATGAGCAGCCATCTAAGGTATGACTATTGGTCTCTCCCTATCTAGCATAAAGAAGAGTGATGAAAGTTGTAGTCACTTGGAAAAACAGTCTAATGAACTAATGGATCACATGAACATCCGTCTTCATCACCCTGAGACCAGACATGGTAGTAGCTACCATTATCAATTACTCTAAAAGGATTCACATTAGAGGGTACTGGAAAGAGTGGAAAATGTGGGAAGGTCAAAATCACACACAAAAAACCCAGCCTTACTGGTCAGATAAGACTGGAATTCCAAGTTCATGGCTCTTGGTCATCCTTCGGGTCTGGAACCAGACTTACCCCTGTGGCTAGATTTTCAGCCAAGCAATAGATAGGTATTTAGGGGAGACAACAATACTAGTGAGGTAAGTACACCAAAGAATGGTCAACCATTCAAGATTCAAAAGTCAGCATTTACCCAACAGCAAAGTTCAGTTAGGCTGGGAGAAAAGGAGGAATAGAAACAAACAATGCAGGGAGGAAGTAGGATAAATGCTGTTAGACTGAAGGGATTGTAATCATTGAGATGAAGTGAAGTGTACAATGTAAATTTGTGGACTGTAAAACTGATGATCTGTTCTGTAAACCTTCATTCAATTCACAATAAAAAGCTAAAAAATTTTTTTAACATTAACGACAAGTCAAAATGATATTATTTTTAGATAGATTGTTGTTTTTAAGTGCCGACAAGTTGGTTCTAACTCATAGCGCCCCCGTAGAGGGTTTCTGAGGAGTAGCTGGTGGGTTTGAACTGCCAACCTCGTGGTTTACAGTTCAGTGCTGATCCTATAGTGCCATACCAGGATTGGATTAAATGAAATATTATTTAAATTAATTTTGCTCATTTCTTTAAAATGTTTGAGACTACTAGAAAAGTTTTAGTAACATATGTGTCTCATATTACATGATTGTTAGTTAGCACTACTATTGTTACTGTTGTTAAGAGTTGGTTCTGACTGACTGATGGAGACCCTGCATAGGGTTTCTGACTTTGTGGTTTGAATTGCCGACTTCATGGTTAGCAATCCAGAGCTTTTCCTACAGCACCACACTCTAGAGGTTTCAAAAATATAGACTGTTACCACAAGGAATGTATCATATGGTGGGACAGGAAAATTACATCAGAAAGAATTAGCTAGTGAGAAGTTACTAAAGAATCAATAAAAATTCATGACAATTAAGTGGGAAAAATTCAAAAGAAAAGTTTTACTAGCCCAATTGCAAAACTCAATCATCATGATGGTCTATAGATCCCAAGAATCAAATTTAATATTAAAGCATTTGATCTGTCAAGGGTAGACTTTAATCACATTTAAGTTATACCAATAAAAGAATAATACTGAAGTTTTTCTAAGTGTAGTCCTATGATTGGTACAAAATATAATTTTAGATGATATCTAAATAAACATGATTTATTTTATTCACTTTGTATTGACTGTTGTTGTTAAGATGTGTTGAGTCAGTTTCTAACTCTTAGTGACCCTGTATAGAGTTTCTGAGGAATGGCTGGTAGGTTTGAACTACCAACCTTGCAGTTAGCAATCCAATGTTTACCACTTCTTTGCCACATCAGGACTTGATTTGCATATTAGAAAAAATATAAGAAAACATGAAACCCATGATTCAACAAGTACTATTGCTTGATAACATTTCTTTAAAAATTATTTAGGTAAGATACAATGTTTTAAACATTTTAAGTAAATAACAATATAGATGTGTAGATAAAGCAAAAATTAGAGGTGTTTTTGTTTCTGGAAATTTTTCAAGATATGTTCTGATAGGAAACACTTCTAAAATATTCAATCAATGTTTCATTAATTATTTGATTGATAGGCTATTGGACATTTACGATCATAGATGATCTTAAATGTAAAATCATCTTGAAGGTGTTTGTCAAAACCATCCAACGACTGAATATACTTACCTTAATAATCTACAAAAGCTCCGTCGATAACTCAGTCGCTGGCTAGCTGCAGCAACACTGGGAGGAAGAGGAGGCCGAGGTGGGAAGTAAGCTAGTGTTGCAGAAAATATTAAGCAGACAACTCCAAATTCTGAAAGAAAAAAAAAAATCAATATAGTAAAATATTATCCAAGCAACACAAACAAGCTGAACGTATTGAGTATTAATTTATCTAATAAATATTTATTGAGCATGAACTAAGTCTATACAGTGATATTTACTTTATAATCTATAGCTATAAAGATGAGTAAAATATAGTACATAGCCAAGATAGTTCAGTTTAGTGAGATTGGTACTTAAAAAGATAAAATTTCAGCAGTTCATAGGTAAATAAAGTCATATTATAAACCAAGAATACAGTGGTAGTTCAGAGGAGCTCTTACTGGACTGTTAGCTGCAAGGTTGGTAGTTCAAGCCCAACAGCTGCTTCTTGGAGCCCTATAAAGGGTCGCTATGAGTCAGAACTGGTTTGACAACACTTAACAACAACAACAACAACATGGTACATAAGGAGCCCTGGTGGTGCAATAGTTAAAGTGCTCAGCTGCTAACTGAAAGGTTATTGGTTTGAATTTACCAGCTGCTCTGTAGGAGACAGCACCTGGTGATGTGTTCCCATAAAGATTTAAGCCTAAGAAACACTATGGGGCAGCTGAGTTGGAAGGCACTCTACAGCACACAACAACATGGTGCACTACATACACCCTGTATAAGGTTTCCAAGGAGTGGCTGGTAAGTTTGAACTGCCGATGTTTGGATTAGCAGTCCAGTGCTTATCCTACAGCACAACACCAGGACTCTGCCTAATGTAATATGTCTTTTGATTCCTTGACTGCTACTTCCCAGAGTGTTGATTGTGGATCCAAGCAAAATGAAGTCTTTGACAACTACAATCTTTTCTTCATTAATCATGATTTTATTTTTTATTCTAGTTGTGTGGATTTTTGCTACATTTTTGCTACATTGAGGTGCAATCCATACTGAAGACTGTAGTCTTTTAACTTCATCAGTATGTATTTCAAGTCCTCTTGGGACATTCTCAATCTTTGTTAATCTGAAGGGCAATGAAAAATTTACAAATTGTTTTAATTTACAGTTCTCTTAATTACTAAAGAGGAGTTCTATGGAACATGATTAAGCATTGTTCTGCTAAATGAAAGGTCAGCAGTTTGAGAATCCCATGGGGCGCTTCTATTCTGCCCTATGAGTTAGAATTGACTAGATGGCAATGAGTTTGGCTCTTTTGGCTTTTGGTAAACAACTTTGATCTGTATATTGGTCACTTGTACCCTTATGTAATTGGCTTGTTCATATTCTTTGCTCATTTTTCTATTGATGTTTTTGTAAATAACTTTATTGAGATATAATTCATATGCCATAAAATTTATTCATTTAAAGTGCACAATTCAATGGTGTACAGGGTAGCCACAGAGTAAATGTGAGTATACATTATGTAGTCTTCCCATCCTTCCCTGTTTTGGACTGGCTTCTTTCATTTAGCATAATGTTTTCAAAGTTCATCCATTTTGTAGCCTATATCAGTGCTTCATTCTTTCTTGTTGCCAAATAATAATCCACTGTATGAATAAACTACATTTTATTTATCCATTTCACAGTTGATGGACCTGTTTCACATTTTTGGCTATTGTATAACAATGTGTTTAAGAACATTCTTGTATATACATTTTTGTATGGATCTATGTTCTCATTTTGCTGGCTACATACCCTAGGATGGCACTTCACAACAACAACAACATACCCTAGGAATGGAATTGCTGTCATGTGACAAGTCCATGCCTAACATTTTTAAGAACTGCCACACATTTTCTGAAGCAGCAGCATCATTTTTCATATCCACCAATGATGCATGAAAATTCTATTTTTTTCACATTCTTGACACTTCTTATTTGTCTTTTTCATTATAGCTATCCTTTTAGGTTGAAATGGTGTCTCATTGTGAGTTTTATTTGCATTTCTCTAATCACTGGTAATGTTGAGCATATTTTCACGTGTTTATTGACCATTTGTATATCTTTTGGAGAAACGTGTCTTCAAATTCTTTGTCTACTTTATAAATACGATTATTTACATGTATTTTTTAAATTCACTTGGAGGAGTCTTTTATTTATTTTGGATGCCAGTCCCTTATCAGATATATGGTTTACAAGTATTTTCTCCCATTTTATGTGTTGTCCTTTTACTTTCTTGATGGTACTCTTTGAATCACAAAAGTTTTAACTTTAATGAAGTCAATTTATCTACTTTGTCACTTGTGCTTTTAATGTTGCATCTAAAAAGGGTTTATCTAGTCCAAGATTTATTCCTATGTTTTCTTCTAAGAGTTTTAAAGCTTTAAGTTTTACATTCTGTAGGATAAGCACTGGACTGCTAACCACAGGGTCTGCAGTTGGAGCCCACCAGCTCTTGGTGGGAGAAAAATTAGGTTTTCTGCTCCAGTGGAGTCCTGGTGTGGCGCTGTAGGCTAATGCGCTGGATGCAAAGTCGCCTGAACCACAAAGTCGGTGGTTCAAGCTCACCAGTCGCTCCTTTGAAACCCTATACAGGGTCTTTATGGGTCTGAACTGACTTGAAGACACTTAACAACAATCACAACAAACAGTTTTAGCTTCAGAAACCCTCTACAGGGTTGCTATGAGTTGGAACCACTCAACAGCACTTCAACAACAATAGGTCTTACTTTTAGGTTTATGATTCATTCTGAGTTAATTTTTGTACATGGCATAAGGAAGTGTTCAGGAGAATCTATAAACACCATTAGTATTTGACACCCAGTCCTGTTGTGGCACTGTAAGATAAGCACTGTACTGTAAGGTCAGTTTGAACCGTAAGACCGGCATGGCAGTTCAAACCCACCAGTCGCTTCTTGGAAACCCTATACAGGGTTGCTGAGTAAGAACTGACACAAGGTACATTACAACAACAATAACCATTCACTTGGAGTCTTGATGTAGTGCTGCAGGGTAAGTACTGGACTGCTAACTACAAGGTCAGTGGTTCAAAGCTACCAGCTGCTCCTTGGAAACCCTATACAGGGTTGCTATGAGTCAGAACTGATACATGGCACTTAAAACAGCAACAACAACCATTCACCTGGAGCCCTGATATGGCGCTGTAGGATAAGTATTGTACTGCTAACCACAAGGCCAGTGGTTCAAAGCCACCAGCTACTCTTGGAAACCCTAAAAGGGTTGTTAAGAGTTGGAACTGACTTGATGGCACTTAAAAACAACATTCACTTGGGGGCCTTGGTGATACAGTGATTCAATCACTCAGTCCATCACCTGTTCTCGGAGAGAAAGCTGGGGCAGTCAGCTTCCATAAAGATCTACAGCCTTGCTAAGGGGAAGTTCTGCTCTGTCCTATGGTATCGCTGTGGTCAGAATTGACTTGATGGCAGTGGGTTTGGGTTGTTTAGCATCCACTTAGAAATCTTGGAAGGAACCCTACTGACACAGTGAGTTAAGTGTTGGACTGCTAATCAAAAGATCAGCAGTTCAAACCCCCCAGCCACTCTGTGGGAAAAAGCTGAGGCTGTCGGTTCCCATGAAGATTTACAATCTCAGAAACCCTAAAGAGCAGTTCTATTCTGTCCTATGTGGTCATTATGAGTCTGAATCAACTGGATGGCAGTGGGTAGGAGCTCTGGAGGTACAGTAGTTAGCACTAGTTAAGCACTTGGCTGCTAACTAAAAGGCCAGTAGTTTGAATCCAGCAGCCTCTCTGTGGAGAGAAAGCTGTGGCAGTTTGCTTCCATAAAGATCTATAGCCTTGGAAACCCTTTCAGCAGTTCTACTTTGTCCTGTAAGGTCACTACAATTCGGAATTGAGTTGATGGTCTGGGTTGGGTTAGGGTTTATACTATTAGGCCCAACAACTCTTCTACTTCTTCAAATTTGAGAAAGTGGCCTGTTTCAAATGGAGGATCATTGGAAATGTCTGAGGTTTTAGTACTTTGCATATGTTCCATTATTTAAAAACAAAAGTCATTGTGGTCTTATTTCATTTACATAGAAAGAGAAAGAAATGCTTTCCCATAATGATCAAGGTCTTTGCAGAGAATTAATACGACCTTCGTTTTACTTTTACTTTTCTTTCAGAAGAAAAAAATAGTCACTGCTTTGTTCTACATGGCCCACATCTAACTATTGTCTGATTTTGTAGATTCTGTAACTTTAAATTGCTGGAAAAATAATATTTCATGACATGTGAAAATTAAATGAAGTTTACAATTCTAGTCCACAAATAAAGTTTTACTGATACACAGGCACATTCATTTGCTCATGTATTGTCTATGGCTGTGTTCATGCTATAGGGCAGCACTGAGTAGTTGAGACAGGGACTACAAAACTTAAACTATTTACTCGCTATTTCTTAACAGAGAAAGACTGCTGACAGCTGCTCTACATAGTCAGTTAACATCACTGAGTGTGAGATGAATTACTGAGTAGAAGGGATCACAACTGGCTATTTAGGGAAATACAGAGAAGTGAGTTGATATGTCCCTATTTACGATTTACTGGGGAAAGAAAAGAACAGCGTAAATAAAATAAACACTGAGAGCATTATAACTGGATATATATTTAACCAAATATGTCTATTGATGAGGGCTCTGGAAATTGTTGGACTAATTTAGTTAAAGCTAGAAATTTTAGAAAAGTATTTTTAACAAAATGAAGGCAGGCAATATCTCAAGTAGGCAGATATGAACTTAAAAGGTATTAGTTGCCTAAAACCCGGTAGTTTTATAGGCAATCATTCTTAAGTTTTCAATAAAAATATGACCAAAATGAAGTTAAAAATGTGTTTCACCTGCTTTCAATTTTAATCCCTCCAAATCATATTCTGAAATGTAAATCTCATCATATAACTCTCTAATATAAAGTTCTTCAGAGTATTTACCTTTGTCTATAAATGAACATCAGATCCTTTAGCTCTGCTTAGAAGGCAGCCTATCGTGACTCACCTCCCTAGTCACCTCTCCTGACTCCCAACAGATCTAAGCCTCTGAGCTCCCAGCTGCTTGAATGTATCAGACTCTCTCCCCACCCTAGTGGGCTTATCTTTTCTGGTTCTCTCTACTATATTCTTCCTCCTGCTCCTGCATTTGGCTAACTCATCCCTCAATTCTCAACTTAGATGCGGCGTCTGCAGAAAGCTCGACTTGACCTCTGAAATTTGGGTTAGGTGTGCCTCCTATGAGCTCTCAGAGCAGCAGTAAGCCTTAAATAAATGAGGGGACTTTAAAGTTCACAGAAAAATCCCACTATCTTTTAATTCCATTTTTTCATGAACTTTGTGAAGCCCCCTCAGATAGCACTTACCACTGTTTTACAACTACCCTTACACCTGTCAGCATCTTCATGACATTATAAATTCCATGTGTGCAGGAACCATATATACCTCAGTGTCTAGCACAGTGAGAGATACATAAAGACCTTCAATATATCTGTTAAATTAATAAGTGAAAAAATGAATTAATACAAAGGTCAGCACAATCGGGCCCTTTATCCTTCTACTTGCTGCTGCTGCTGTTGTTGTTGGATAGGGTTTCCAAGGATCAGCTGGTAAGTTTGAAGTGTCGATCTTGTGGTTCAAACTGACCTTTCTGTCCACTGCTTATCCTATAGCACCACACTAAGACTCCTCCAGCTTGCTACCTATACCCAAATACATGTTTACAGTACACCAGCCTTTCCAAATTATGAGCAGTTGCCTGGACATACTCTCTCATACCTTCTCCACCTTTGTAAGGAAGACCCAGAGCCCACTTGAACACTCAGTGAATTCCTAAGAAAAAACTTAATTTTGCTTAATCATCACATCCTTGGTGAACTCTTCCTTGAGCCCTTAAGTTCTTCTCAACCACAGACAAAGTTAGGCCTCTCAACCTCTGTACAATCTCCATTTGTATTATAACTATCTCACCATTGATTTATCAACTCCCAGTGCTTAAAGTATTTGGCAGATAGTTGTTGTTACATGCTGTTGAGTGGGTTCCAACTCATAGCAACCTTACGTACAACAGAATGAAACATTGCCTGGTCCTGTGCCAACCTCATAATTGTTACACTTGAGCCCATTATTGCTGTCACTGTGCCAATCCATCTCATTGGGAATCTTCCTCTTTTTCTCTGACTCTCCATTTTACCAAGTATGATATCCTTCTCCAGGGACATACGATCCCTCCTGATAATATGTTCGAAGTATGAGAGAAAAAGTCTCGCCATCCTGATTTCTAAGGAGCATTCTGGCTGTTCTTCTCCCAACACAGATTTGTGTTTCTGGCAGTCAGTAGTACTTTTAATATTTTTCTCCAGTACCATAACTCATATGCACCAATTCTTCTATGGCCTTTCTTATTCACTGTCCAGCTTTTGCATGCATGTGGGGCTGCTGAAAACACCATGGCTTGGATCAGGCACACCTCAGTCCTCAATCTGATATTTTTGCTCTTGAAATACTTTAAAGAGGTCTTGTGTAGCTGATTTGCCTAATGCAATATTCCATTTGATTTTTTGACTTCCATGAGTGTTGATGGTGGATCCAAGCAAAATGGAGACTTTGACAACTTTAATTTTTTCTCCATTTATCATGATGTTCTTTCTTGGTTCAGTGGTGAGGATTTCTGTTTTCTTTACACTGAGTTGTAACCCGCACTGAAGGCTGTGGTCTTTGATCTTTATCAGTAAGTATTTTAAGTCCTCTTTGCTTTCAGCAAATAAGGTTGTATCATCTGCATATCGCAGGTTGTTAATGGCTGATAGTAAACACTTTCAAAATCTTTCTGAATTCAGAAGGAACTAATAAACAGATATATAGGGAGAGTCCTTGTATGGTGCTGTAGGATAAGCATTGATTGCTAACCACAAAGTCACTGTTTCAAACCCACCAGTCGCTCCTCAGAGTCCCTATACGGGGTCATTGAGTCAGAACTGACTCCATGGCACTTAACAACAACAACAGAAACATAAGAGGAGAGAAGCTATATTTAAGGAGATCTGATGGAGACTGTAGGAGCCCTGGTGGCAGTGATTAAGGTGCCTGGCTGGTAACTGAAAGGTGGGCAGTTCGAACCCACCAAGCTCTCTGCAGGAGAAAGATGTGGCTGTCAGCCTTCAGAAAGATTGGTTGTTGTTGTTAGGTGCTGTCAAGTCAGTTTCAGCTCCTAATGGCCCTATGTGTAACAGAACGAAGCACTGTGCATTCCTGTATCATCCTTACAATTGTAATGTTTGAATCCATTTTTACAACCACTGTTTGTAACTTGTACTTGTTGGGGGGCGGGGCTTCTTTTTTTGTTACCCTCCTCTTTACCAAGCATGATGTCTTTCTCCAGAGACTGGTCACTCCTGATAACATGTCCAAAGTACATGTGACAAAAGTCTCGCCATCTTTGCTTCTAAAGAGCATTCTTGCTTGCTGTAATTTTTAGAAGACAGATTTGTTTGTTCTTCTGACATTCTTTATGTTCAATAATATTTGCAAACACCATAGTTCAAAAGCATCAATTTTTCTCTGGTCTTCGTATTCACTAACCAACTTTCAAATGCATATGAGGTGATTGAAAATATTATGGCTTGGGTTAGGCATACCTTAGTCCACAAAGTGACATCTTTGCTCTTTAACATTTTAAACAGATCTTTGCAGATGTACCCAATGCAATAAATATGTCATTTGATTTCTTGAATGCTGTTTTAATAAGTGTTGATCTTGAAACCAAGTAAAAGTCAAAATCCTTGACAATTTGAATCTTTTCTTGTTTATCATGATTTTGTCTACTGGCCTAGTTGTGAGGAATTTTGTGTTCTTTACACTGAGGTATAATCTGTACTGAAGACTATATTCTTTGATCTTCATCAATGGGGGTTCAAGAACTCTTCACTTGCAGTGAGCAAGGTTGTGTCATCTGCATATCGCAGGTTGTTACTAAGTCTTCCTCCCATCCTGATGCCATGTACTTCTTCATACAGTTCAGCATCTCAAGTTATTGGTTCATTATAGAGATTGAATAAATATGATAAAAGGATACAACCCAACACACATCTTTCCTAATTTTAAACTATGCAGTATCTCTTGTTCTGTTTGAACAACTGCCTCTTGGCAGTTTTTGGTATTCTCTACTTTCTGCCAAGATCCATCTGATGTCAGCAATGATATCCCTAGTTCCATATCCTCATCTGAACCCAACTTGAATTTCTGGCCACTCTCTGGCAATGTACTGCTGCAATCATTTGGAAGAGATTTGTATTTGTGCCTATTCCAAAGAAAGGTGACCCAACAGAATACAAAAATTATTGAACTGCAAAGATTTACAGCCTTGGAAACCCTATGGGGTAGTTCTATTGTGCCCTGTAGTGTTGTTATGAATAGACTCAACAGCAATGGTCTTAGATTAGTTTGGTAGGAGACTGTAGGTCCCAGTGGTTGGCAGTTCAAACTCACTCAGTGACACCACAGAAAAAAAGTCTGGCAGTAGTCTTCCATATAGATTACAGCCAAGAAAACCCTATAAAGCAGTTCTACTGTGTAATACATGGTGTTGCCAAGAATTGGAATCGACTCATAGGTAATGGATTTAGCATTTTTTGTAGGAGATTGTAATACAAGAGTAAACTAGGACTTGAGTCTAAAAATAAAAAGAGAAAGGATCTGAGAGAAAATCTTGGAAAGTCAGTATCCTCTATTAATAGACTAACTATACAGAGATGGAATGAAGAGAGAAGTAAACTGTAGACAACCTAGGATAATGAGGTTAGAGAACACAGACAATAGTGGGGAAATTGCAAGGAAGAAAATTAGCTCAATGCCTACCAATAGTTGCTAAAATTTTAATCATGATGGTTAGTTTTATATGGACTCCTGGTGTCCTGGTGTGGTGCTGCAGAATCAGCACTGGACTGTGAATCACAAGGTTGGCAGTTCAAACCCACCAGCTGCTCCTCGGAAACCTATCCAGGGTGGCTATGAGTCAGAGTTGACTTGAGAGTACTTAACAACAGCAGCAAGTTTTATACACTGATAAGATATCTAGAGAAGACACTAGAAAACGTGTCATACAGTGCTCAGTTGTAAATGAATAAGAAGGAAGAGCAAATTAAGAAACAATGTTTCATGTAGCAACAATACATTTTAAACTTATTAATAATAACTTTCTAGAAACGGTGCAAGTTTTAAAGTGTCATCTCTACATTATGTGACAAGCAAAGCATATTATGTGTACCTGTATACTGGGGGTAGGCTTAAAAAAGTTCATGGAAAGATGGAATTGAAAAAAAGGAATTTTTCTATGAACTTTTTGAAGCCCCATTGGATATTAGTCTTCTTAAATGCTTTTTATGAAGTGATCTGGTACACAAAAAGTAGACTGAGGACAGGGATAAAAGACAAGGCATAACAGGAAGAACACACACTTCAAAATACCTGCATATAACACAGTCTCTATGCGATCTTTAATGTGGGCCCTGCTATTCTCTGCAGCAAAAAGCGGTGAAGTCCCATTCGGAGCTGGAACAACAAGTGGTCCAACTAAAAATGCACACGCTCCACCAAGATAGCTGAGCATTGATGCAATGGCTGTGGCAGTGGCCCGCTCATCTGCAGAAAACCACGTCGTGGAGAGGAATGGAGCTGCATTCATTACCGTTGGCCCTGCCAATCCATTTAACATCTGTCCTGCATGGATGAGTCTGGAATTAAAAGAAAAAAGGCTGTGAGGTAGCCAAACAGCAGTTTAGCTATGGCAGTAAATAAACATGTCTGTAAACAAAATGACACATCTAAAAGGTAAAGTTGAGTCTGTGAGGGAAATGAAATATATTAATAGGACTTACTCATTTCATAAATATTTACTGAAGCTACTGTTTGTTCCACATACCAAAAGAAAAACATCCTACAATCTCATTTCATCTAATCCTTACAACATTATGTGATAGCTATTATTATTCCCTTTGATTAATATGTGAAACCCAGGCTCATAAAAATGACAAAACTTGCCCATGTGTTAACAGGCAAAGCCTATTAGACCTAGACATAGTTCTGACACTAAAACCCATACTCCTTCTGCTAAGTAACTGTTCATAAACAGATGTAGTAAATGCCATCAACCCTACAAATAATCTGCTTAGCTCAACATTTCATGCTTACTTTGTGCCAGCTATTAGAGAAGTATAAGACAGAAAATAGTCTAACCATCTTCTAACAGAAAAGTCATTGGTTGAGAAATCAGAGGACTTAGGGTCCAACTCAGCTCCACAACAGGAGTTTGTTGAGTGGCCCTGGAAATATATATAACCTCACCTGTAAAATAAGGTGATTAGTCTAAATGTAATACACATTTATTAAGCATCTGTTAGATTAAGGTATAGTAATCATAATACCTGAGTCTTGGATGATACAAATGGTTAAAGTGCGTAGCTGTTAACCAAAGCTGTTTGAGGTTCAAGTCTACTAGAGGGGCCATGGAATAAAGTCCTGGTGATCTACTTCTAAAAACTCAGTCAGTGCAAACCCTATGGAATCCAACAGTACTCTTACACACATGGGGTCATCATGAGCCAGAAGTGACTTTCTGGTTTAATTACAGAAATCAATAGGTCCATTCCAGTTCTAATATTCTGACTCCTTACAACTTTAGTTGTAAGGATTAATGAACACTAGTCTCTTTCTTTCATCTTTTCTCAGTATTCTCCTGTTCCTTGCTGACCAAATTCCTTTCTCTCTTCATGCACACTCATATTCAAGGGTATCCTTGAAGGAGAAAAGAAGTTAGAAGTCCAAATGTGTAGGCAATAAAGGGAGGCAAGTCAACTTATTCTTGGAGGCAGAGGAAGGGGCAATAGAATACTAAGGACTGTTTTGTCCTGCTTGTTTTGATTTTTAAGTACCACCTGGGTGTCGAATTGTCTTTTTAACAGTTGACATCTTAAGCCATTGAGAAAAAGTTTTCTGAGTACAGAAGGAAATAATAAATATGGGAAAAGGCAGAGCCCTAATGTAGAAACATAAGTGAGTGGGAAGTGAAATCTGTGAATTAGGTCAGCCCATTTTCATATAATGTTGGAAAAACTGAAGGCAAAATAGTCCCAAATGTTAATATGACTAAAGAAAACTGAAGGCATTTTTTTTTTTTTAAATCTCCTTGTGGGAAGGGAACTGTTTTCTAGAAGACAGAAACAATTTAAGTTGTTTATGACTCCAAACATCACCTCCAAAAGTCAGTGGATCCCACGCTGTCACACAGCAAATATTTCAACATGGAAATATTCTTGAAACAAAATCCTGAAATTGTTTTAATGATGACTGGTGATGCATAACAATCAGTCAGTGCATGACAGCTCATAAAGGTTATTGCTTTATATTTAATGTCTTTACTAAGGTGTTCCTGAAAGATTCATCTCAGTTAGAAGAAGGCTTAGAATGAGCACAGGGTTGCTATAAGTCAGAACTGACTCAATGGCATTTAACAACATTAATCTGTGGCATCCTGGTGTGGCACTGACAGTTAATGGGCTGGACTGTAAGGTTGGTTTGAA